TTTGATTTGCAGGTGAAAAGATGTCGTAGTTTATTTAAAAAACTGCACTTAATCTTGTTAAATAGATTTTTTAAACTATATTTAAATGGAATTTTAACTCCAGCACTGGAAATTGGCATCATTGGTGGGTGGATGTGTGTGTGTGTGGGAGGGTAAGTGTTGCTGAATCATCTTTGAGCTTCAGTGTTTTCTTTCAAGAGGAACTTTCTGTGCAGTAGTTCTCTTGAATTGCACATGAGTCTCCGTTTAAAATGAAGACAGGTGAAGACGCTTTATTACCTGGTGAAGTCATCACTCAGGAGGTCACCGCTCACTGCCAAGGCCTCGAGCACGTCATCACGGATCTGTCTCAGCAGCTGGCTGTCTTCAGCAAAGGATTGTGGGTCAGGGTCACGGCCTTTGTCTGTACGAAACTTCAACAGAACTGGAAGACAGAAAAGAAAGAGGGAGTGAGAGCAGGAAGCGGGACAGAAAAATAAACAGAAGGAAATGTACGACCGTTGAGGAGCTGGAAACAAGCTTGAACCATTTTTCTAAAGAAATATTTTCCATATAATCTATTGCAGTATTGCCATTTATAATTTCATCACGCTTTCAAATGACTTCCACACTGAATTATCATCTCATGGAAAGACAACATCTCATCTTGACTGCTGCTCCCTTTTGAAACAGGATAAAAATCAGTATGTGGTTGCACCATCAACCATTTCATCCGATTTGGCCTACGCTTCCCCACATCAAATTGAGAGCCTGCACGTACAGACTTCTGCATGTAAAAGGCGCTTGCATACACCTGCACATGGGTAAGGAAATATTAGGGTGAAAAGAAAAAAAGAAAAAACTCTTTCCTGTGTTGAAAAGTCGGCTTGAGGACTGAGTTTTTTTTTTTTTTTTGGTAAATCTAAAACATTCACTTTATTTGGTCATGAGCAAAATTCTGAACAGCAACCGACTTCTGCACCACACAGACGCAGAGATCAACACCTCGCCCCCATACTTCCTGTTCGTCCATTAACCTAAACCACGAGGAAGTCAAATCCTCCCACGGCCATTTCCACCAGCGTGGCACACCAAACACATATGCGAGTGTAGTGGTGATGAATCATTTTCACACCTCAGCTCTGCCCTTTATCGGTTAACTTTTTTGTTAGTAGAGTTAAAGACTGGCACAAAAGGCATCACACTGCGGCAGAAAGAGGAAATCAAAACAGAATTTCATAACAGAATATAATAATGTGCACATGGATGGAACAATGATAGTATCTCTAAACCTACACATGTAGTGATACGCAATAGCCTTCACAGATTAAAAGGGGAAGGGAAATATTTGAGATGGCCCTTTACGTCAAAACCTGCACGCCAAATACAACAAACAATATGTTTTTTCCATATATTAAAGGCAACATCTGTACAGTGAGTGAGTGTTTATGTTCACTGGGCAGAGCTGTATTACTTTAAACACTGTAACAAACAGGAAATGTATTCTGCTTGTGCTTTGTCCAAATGTGTCAAATATTAGATGTTATGTCATCTTTTCTCTTACTGGTCAACTCGTCTTGTCAGGCCGCCAATACAATAATAAAAAAAAAAGAATTAGATAGATTACAGATACTAATGATAATACACACACACACACACACACATCCGCGGTTCAGATCACTCGACTGTTCCTAGTCAGACAGGAAGCAGTTGTAACAGAGGAAGAGCCACTTCCTCATCAGTCGGCCAAAACAACAACCGCTACCTCCAATTATAGAAACAGCGAAGGAATAATAACACTGCGTCCTGTCTCACGTTCACCAAATAACAGCTAGGCGGTTTTTCCACTCAGAAATTATCCTGAAACACAGCAGACAGTGCGAGGCGAGAGTGGGTAGGTGGGTTTCAGAGTGGGGGGGTTATTAGACGAGGCCCACGATGGCACAAAATTAACCCTGTAAAAGATACTCAGAATTAAAATACACTTGCAAATGATGATCGACTGAGAAGTAAACAAATTTACTAGACACCCACTGTCACATGACATCTGTAATACTGTTTTGTTTCAGATCGATGTCGTCTATGAACCAGTCGTTGAGACTTTTCCACCCTGAAAAGAATCTAAATCGAACTCGAAATGTTGGCTATTGATAATTAAAGATTTTAACACATGAAATCAACGTTTTTGATGAATACATTGTTTTATGTATTTGTGTGGTCTTGTGAGTGTCACTCACAACACAATACTATAATATTATAATATGAGTTTCTATAGCTGATGTTTTCATACAGTAAAAGCACATTAAGCTAATAGCTCATCGTATTTCCCCTGCCTTTATATATAAAATATATTGTGTATTCGAGTTAAAGCCTGCAAAAAAAACAAAAACAGAAATGCCCAATAAATGTTATGAATTTCCAATTACTCTTCAAATCTGCTTTTGTATTCATGCTGCCTGAATACCGGGTCATTGCTTAAAGGATTATTTATCTTTAGTAGTGTTTTTATTCTAACTCCCATTAGAAAACAACTTTTTAAATATTGAACAATCTTTGTAAGCTATAACATGTTGTAAAAAATAAGTGTAAATTCTATTAAGATGTACTTTTTGTATAATAGTTAAATTCTATATGATCTAAATATGATTTTTAATGCCTTTTGTGTCCTGCTTAAGTGTAATTTAATTGTCTTTATTTATTACATTTTACGTCATTTACAAGTGTGCAGCCATTTTCTGTTTTTTTCCTGTTCTTATATGCTTGTTGTCATGTTGAGTAGGTGTCGGGGTGTTCTCTATTCTACGCTCAGTGCACATGACTGGCCATGGACAGCCTGTGATGGAAACTAGCATGTGGTGTGTGGATGGTGCAGGTGACAGAATAACAACTTTTTAAAGGGAAGGTCATCAGTCGCCGTAAATAACATGAAAAACAGGAAGGTGCAGATTTACTTAAAAGGGTCAAAAAGTTCCTTTAGGTCACTGGTTCCTAAACATCTGGTCACACACGATTATCCAGATGCAACCGAGTATAACGATATAATTTAATTTTACAACCTCGCCTCTCCTGGCAAAAGGTTGACATCCATCATTTTGTCCTTCGCTCAAGACATTTAACAAACTTTACAGACGTGTTTCTTCGTGTCTGTTCAATCAAATTAGAACCAGTGATTTTGCATGTTCATGGTACGTGTTTCAGTCTCGCTGCAGGGTACCTACGCATTTTTCAGTTTCACATTTCTAAACTTTTTTTTGAGCTTTCAGGATTCTTGTTTTATTTGATCAATTCTCTGTATGGAAATTCTGTTTGTCTTGCCTCCTACACAGAAGTGTCAGTAGACATCTCGCGTATACTCTATCACTCATTTATCTGATAGTTGTGTCATATAGACAATATCGCTCTCTCTGAATGCAGTTTCACATCAAATATAAATCCCTTTTAAAATCTGTATAAAGTCTAAAAAGACAAAAATTCTTGAGAAAACTTAATATTTTGTAATTTTATAGCATAAAATAGTCATATTTATGGTTAAATTCAAAGATAATTTCACCTCTAGAAAACAACAAACAATTAAAGTTTGACAGACAATTGTCAAACTTTAATTTCAAAACTTTTTAAAACCTAAAAAAATAACTTTCAAGTGTTGCAACTACTGATTAGTCTGGTCTGTAAGGACTATTCACTTAACTTTTTAAACTGCAAATAATAAAACAATGCCCATCAGGAGTTACCAGAGCTCAAAGCATCATAAAATCACAAAGAAAAAGCTAAATTTCACATTTAAAACCTGTTGCCACTTAAACTTTTATAGTTTTACTCTATAAAATAACACTTTAAGTACCGTGAAGCAGGAAGTAGTCCACTGGTGTTCGCTTCAGCCCGGCTTTGGCCTTCTCACTCGTCCAGTCAACCTCCAGAGCCTCCTTCAGAGTGCAGAAACTGGACGTCTGTTTGGATGGAGATGAAAAATAAATGTCAGCAGGTCTGTCAAAGATTGTCTGGTGGTCATTTGATTAGGGAAAGTCATTTATTTGGATTTGTATGGATTTTATGTATATTCAAATGTATTTCTGATCTTAAATTCTTTAAAAAAAAGCAGACATGTTTTAGAACAAATATAAAACCATCTTCCCACATATACAGGTCTGTGTGTGTGTGTGTATGTGTATGTGTGTGACTGTGTGTGTGTGTGTGTCTCTCTGTGTGTCTGT